TTGAACTTCCTAATATTCAAACTGTTTGAATTTAAGTAGTCTAATGTATAGGAAGGGACCACATCCCCAGTTGTATCTTTCGAGATCACTACAAGCTCTTTCCCATGCAAGCGAGTTGAGGTTGAGGTCAAGAGGTATGCTGAAGAGAAGCCAAGACTATTCCAATATGCTTAGATGCAGTCAAAACAGTCGTATCAATTAAAGTGCTATATTATTAAGCTTCCAAAGAGAGCAGCAGTATAGATGGTGAACAAAATTTTATTCAATTTGCAGTAAAAGTAGATTCCTTCTTTTTAATATTTTTTTTCTTCTTTTGATAAAAATTTAATTGTGTCGTGTGACCTATGAATTGCTTGGTTTTAAACGATTATTTCGTGTAATATATACATTGATAAATAATGGAAAAGTATCTCAAGTCAAAATTGATAGTGACAATTATTCGAATGCGATATTTTTATTTACTCTTACATACATACATACATATTGCTTTTATAGCACAGCTATGATAACACATCAAAACACTTGAGTGAAATATAATTACCAATTATGGTTTAATATAAGGCATGCATAAATGTTAGTATATGTATATAGGCCTATACTATGCATATGCGTACATACATATATTATCGTGTTATCTCAGTCGCCTCATCATATTTTAAAAATTTTTTCCATGCATATAAAATTGTTTTTTTTTTATTTCTTTATTTTTTTTTTATTATTATTAGTTGTCTGAATTTCTCTCTTTAAGATAAGCATCTGATAGTATTTCTTTTATTATTGGCATTTATTTTAGTTTCCATGCCCTAACTGACAACGACTGGTCATAAATTAGAATATCTGGTAATAAAATTTGTTAAATAATTTTGAATTGTGACATGGGGTGCTCTAACGGTGTTGCCATATACAAATTTTTAACATTTTGTTATTTTAATTTTAAATGAGCTGAAAGTACTGTAAGCTTACTTTATGTATTTTTTTTTTAGTAATATTTCTCACTACTGCTGCTAACAAGCTGCGTTATAAAAATATATGTGAAAATCAGAGTTAGTCAACTAACGAAGCGTTGCCATTTCGTTTTTGTTAATATGAAATATAATCTTACCGAAATGATTTTGTTTCGTTTCGGCGCCATGTTTTCGAAATAAAATAATTATAATGAAATTTTTAATGTTACAACCGCATAAATTCATTGTTAATGTTAACTTTAAAATGTCTGTCTGCTATGATATTAACAGCACATTGCAATTTTAACATTTGACATTATATCTGTTAACGATGTAACATTAACGACAGCTCTTCGTTTGGTGTAAAATGGAAATTAAATTTATTGTTATAACTGTTTAATGCTAATATTTCCAAATGTCTCAACTGATCCGACTGAAACTTTCTGTTTAATTTGAAATTTTTCTATGATGCAGTCTTGGTTGAAACTGATCAAAGTACATCAACAGCACATTTCAATTTTAACATTTGACATTATCTGTTAACGATGTAACATTAACGACTGCTCTTCGTTTGGGGTAGAATGGAAAAAAAAATTTGTTGTTATAACTGTTTTAATGTTAATATTTTCAAATATTTTAACTGAACTAATTGAAATTTTCTGTTTAATTTGAAATTTATCTACGATGCAGTCTTGGTTGAAACTGATCAAAGTACATTAACAGCACATTTCAATTTTAACATTTGACATTATCTGTTAACGATGTAACATTAACGACAGCTCTTCGTTTGGGCTAAAATCGAAAAAAAATTATTGAGATAACTGTTTTAACGTTAATATTTCCAAATGTTTCAACTGAACCGATTGAAAATTTCTGTTTAATGTAAAATTTATCGTTACGTTGCAGATCTGATTGAGCACTAATTAAATCGCTAAAACTATTCTTTGCGTAATTTTCATGTCAGAAAAGCTCTTTTTTTACCCTATTCAAGTAATTTGATAAGCGATAGATAAATAATCATTTGTAGTAAGTAATTGAAATTAAATAATTACAATAATAAGATATTTATTTACAGAAATATGCATGTATGTATGTATGTTTGCATATGTGTAAATACGGAAAATTAGCCTTTCCGACATCGTTTCTGACATTGTGATCGAAAGCAAATCACGTTCGCTTAGACAAATTATTGTTGATGATTTTTTGCTAACATATGTATGTATGTATGTACATAAATATGGATATGTATTTCTGTATGCACATATGTATGTATGTAAATAATTAAAAGCATGCGGCTTACGTGCCAGTCTGGTTAAAATCTCGTGACATACAGTTTGTGGAAAAATTGTTCGCGTGAAATTAATATTTTATATAGAAGAAAAGAACTTATATATATTTGATTTATCTAAGCAGTAAAAGATTCAATAGAGGTGTTTTTTTAGAATTTTTTTTAGAGTAAATTTATTATATTATTAAATAGAAAAGGTTTAATAAAATATTTCCTGATTGAACGGTATATGAGTGGAAGAATTAAAATACATAACTAATTTTATCGAATCAATATGTCATAGATTTTGTGAATTTGTATAAAAAATATTTTTTCTAATAATGCATAAATAAATATATATAAAAAATACTTGTAAAATTTATATAGAAGATATTCCCACGTTGCGCTATGGTGAGATCTGTGCAAGAGTTGTATATCAATTTGAAGCTAAAATATACCGCTGTTTGAATCATAATTGTAGTTTAGCTCTTCTCTTTAAAAAAGATTTAAAAAAAATATTAATTTACTACAAAAAAATTGAATGCATTAAGCAATTATTATTTATAATTATATTCCAAAAAAAAATAGTTTGGCTGTCTTATTTATGCGCACATATTTCTGACACACTGTACCGTGGGTTTACTCTGTTATTACTATCATGTTTTTATTCTACACACAGCTAAAGCATGCATACCGCAGCTAAGAATTCAATAAAGAAAGAACTTTTCAGACAAACAGACAGACAAAGTAATTAAGTAGCTGACAGCTTGGCTATACTATAAAATATAATATGAAAAAAATGTAAACAATAAAAGTCAAAGTTAAGTCACATGGTTGGTAATTGGCTGTTTGGTCGCCTGAGTATTGAATTCGATGACTTGAGAAATGACTGCTTATGATTTTCCCCCACTTTTACTACACGCAGCTTCACACGTTCATCGAGACGCATAAACGCTTGTCATCGACGCGCATTCATTTAAACGCCACTCATATATAAATCACCCTTCATAAATATTTTATGTGTTTTTTAAAGTGAAGAAAAAAAAACGGAAAAGGATTTACTTCAAATTTATTTCAAAATGTATATGAGTACATTTTTATATCTTTCTTGAACATTTGTCGGAATCGACGAGATTATTATAACCTATTTACAAAGGATTTGATATTATGGTTAAAAAAATTCATCAAAAAAGCAACGACAAGAACATGAAATTATGTATTCTGAAACCTATGTACAAATAAATATTTTCTCTGGAAATTATCAAAATCGGAGTATTATTTCATATATCTCCCATACAACCGATTTGTTCAGATAAGAGATTTTGGATAAAAAATGCATCAAATAAAAATATCTACGAACGTGAATTTTTTGTATTCGACACAAGTATAATCAAATAAATATTTTCACTAAAAATCACGGAAATCGGATTACTATATCTTATAGCCCCCTTACAAACGACTTGTTCAGATAATATGTTTTCGGCTCAAAATCGGTCATAAAAATATCTACAAGCGTGAGATGTGGAACTCTGCACACGTATATACAAATTATTATTTTTACTGAAAATCATCAAAATCGGATGACTATATCTTATAGTTCCCATACAAATAATTTGTTCAGATCAGAGGTTTTGAATCAAAAAAGCAACAAAAAAAGTATCTACGATCGTAAAATTTTGTATTCTACACAAGTATATGCAAATAAATATTGTCACTGGAAATTATCAAAATCGGAGTATTATTTCATATAGCTCCCATACAACCGATTTGTTCAGATAAGAGATTTTGGTTCGAAAATCCATCAAAAAAAGTATCTACGAACGTGAAACTCTGTACTATGCACGGCTATATATAAATAAATATTTCCATCGAAAATCATGGAAATCGGATGATATAGCTTCCGTACAACCGATTTGTTCAGATTAGAGATTTTGGTTCATAAATCCGTCACAAAAAACTTATAAAAGCGTGAAGTTTGGTATTTTTCACACATGCATATCTATATATCTATAAACCTTTCAGATGAAAATAATCGAAATAGGAAAGCTTCATCATATAGCACACATACAACCATTTTTGCAATTAATATTAATATTTAACCTAAAGATAAATAACATAAATTTTGTCGATCTTCTTTATTTATGCTTTCTTTTTATTTAACTAGTTTTTTATTCATTATTTTAATTATTTTTTTATGATTATGGTTTTTTTGTTTCTGAAAATTAAATAAGAAATTATTCATGTTTCTTTCCTATTTTAATATTTTTCCAATTTCTTTTCAAAATTTTTCATATTATTATTGTAAAATGCTTTTCGAGCTTTCAAATTTTTCTGAGAGTTTTTTTAGCGCATTTTCCTGTAACAAATTTAAAAATTTACTTTAAATTGCGCTTTTCTGCGTGGTTTTGAACTTACTAGCTTAAAATGTTTGAATTTCAATTAAATATTTTAAGATATTTGCTTAGCTCTTATATTAATTACTGCATTCAGTTCACAATTGTCCTTAATATTTTTATTAAAATTTCATTTATACATTTTTTATTGTTTTTTAGAGCATTTTCTTTTATCAAACACTTATAAAAGAAGTGATGCACATTTTTTTATATTATTTTTATTATTATTAAATAGCATGTTCTACCATTTCCCTGCCCTTCTGTAGCAATGACTTTAAATATTCTTTGGCAATGCATTTATATTTTTTATTTCACAAAAAAAATTATAATCTTTCAATTTAAATTAAATTAATTTATTTTTTTTTTATATTCCCAAAATGTTTAAATCGCACATACTTGTTTATTATTGCTGCTCTGCAACTTCTTCTGCCTCAACCGCTCTGCGTTTGCACTGCTTTCGATAATATACGTATTCTAGAATTTGCCGGCACAATAACACTTTCAGTTATTTAAAGCTACGTGCTTCATTTAAATATTCGATATCGTTTGTTTTCTTTATTTTTAATTCTTTATTTTATCAAATTTTATACCAATTGCTCCACATACACATCTACACATATGTACATATTTGTACATACATATATCGTAATGTTATTTTTTCGTAATTTCCTTCATGAAATTTGTGTTTCTTCTACTACGATCCTTTTTCCTGCATATAATCACAGTTAAAAGTCTCACACCGACTGACAATGCGCGTAAACTTGTTCGCTGCTTTATAGGCTCAATATTGTGTGTTGTTTTATATATCCAACAACGACCAACGGGAAACGATCTACCAACCAAGCACAAACCAGACACACACACACCAACACCCACCCACCACAACAACTAATACTTCGACAGGTTTTCATTCGATCAACGTACGATATCACAATAACGCAACAACGACAACAAAAAGAATAACAAATGCGAAGTAGACTGGGTTGCCGATCAGCGCGCACGAAGTCTCACATATGGACTATACATATACATGTATGTATGTATGTGTATGTATGTACAAACAAATAATAATCACGAGAAATACACAAAACAAAACGATTTCATTACGAGATCAATACGCTCTAACTACTTGCTTTGTAAATACAGTATGTTTTTAATGTATATATATATATATATATATATATGTGTGTGTATGTGTACATTAAATATTAAAACAAAGTAATTGGCAATTGTCAAAAAGTAGAATATTAATATCGTTTATTTTTATTTATTACTTTTAATTGTCTTCTCTTACCTTTTGGCAATAATTATAGAAACGCTGACACCTGTATACACGTACACATATGTATGTATATGTATGTACGTGTATATCTATTGCACAGGTAGCTCAACGCAAAAAGATTTACGAGCATGGCGTTTTACTATTGTAGATATTAATATTCTTAAGGAAGACGACCCGTAATTGGTGGTTATGCGTGAAAAGGATTTACGTAAATAACGATGAACAGAGTTTTTCAATAAAAGTTGATATTTTTATATTCAAAAAAAAAAATAAATTTTTTGAGAAAAATTATCGTATGTTTATTTCCATGGAAATAGGAAGATATGGTATTATTCGTTGGAAAAAAATATTAGCCAAATGGTCGCCACGACTACGCTTACAGGACCGTATACTTTTTATGAAATTTTTCATCACACCAAATCGCGAAATATCCTCAAAACCTGCATGAATCCAACTTTGAAGTCTTGAAGTCGAAGTGCGACTGTTGATGTGGACCTTATCTTTCACGTGGCTCCAAAGAAAGATGCGAAGTGTTAAATCACAAGATATCGGTGGTCAAATAGGATAACGGCGGTAGAAAATCATTAATCATCTCTTGAAAAAGTAAAGTAAAAGGCAATGTTGAAGACGGAGAATATCTTCGATAATAAATTTTGTGTTTTCCGAGCTCCAGAAGCGACAGTTTTGCCCATTGACGTAGCCACCGATGTGGGAATGGACTTGATCAGTCAAGATAACTTTTCGATGAAATATCGGAGCATTTTCTTTTAAGGACCCAATCAGCAAGGACACGACGTTATTGATAATCGATTGACTTGAGTTAACTAAACTTTATGAGCCTTGAAACATTTATGCAAAATACGATATAGTAGCGTTTGTGGAAAGCCCAAAATAAAAACGACGAGAAATTGACAAACCGGGGGTTTCTTCAACACTTTGGGCTACAGCAGCATTATTCTGAGTTGTTCTTAAGCGACGCACACTTATTTTTCTCTTCACTTCACCAACTTGTCCCAACAGCTCCATTTTTTACACCAATTACAATATTGCAGTCCGACAAGGTGCTTCACGACGATCGAAATTTGATTTAGTTTTACCAACCGTCTCCGTCAGGTTTTCTATTTTTATAGCGAATTTTAAGACTTCCATTGCGTTTGATGTAGTTTTTACTTGCCAAATATCAAAAAGTTGCAGCTTCAAAAGTGACATCTACCGGAATAGCGAGCTATTCAAAATACCACTTCTTATTGGAAACCCCTTTAGTTATAGAACGGAAAATAGAATTACCCACGGACTTGAAATCTGATTCGTAGCCTCTTTATAGTAACCTCAACAGCGTTCGGTTGGCATACTTCTACGTTGAGTACTATGGATTACCATACCTACGATCGCATCCTTGAAAAAGTCAGCACCCTTGTGAATAAATATACTCCAAAGCAAAGCGCAAAAGTAGGTCATCTGTAGTGCCAGACTTTATTGTAAATGAGATACGCAAGGAAAATCATTGAACGAAATGACCTCAAGTGAGTTTGATACAGAATCACTGTGGCAACCTTTCCTCACATTTCTGGTAAAGGAGAGCCAACCAATACATGTAACTGGTCTGATACAGAATAAGGCATAAAAAGTGTGTTAATTGAGCTTGAGAACTAACACCGCATCTGGCTCATCTTTCCGCTACTGCTTTGCTGAAGATTAACAATCCTTGGAGTATATTTTCTTGAGATGAGTTTAGCTTCTCGGAGTGCCTCACACCTTCAATCGCTGCTGCTACATTGACACTTAGACATGGATGGAACACACCCACGTGTCGCCTTCGCACAGTGAACTAAAATTAGCCATCTCAGTCGGTAGCGGTATCACCGTTTATCCTACGAAGGGCTTTAACGAAAGGACATCGCTTCTTTAGAGATGTTGTTATTATTTTTTTTATTGTTGTTGGTGTTGTAAGTGCAAAAATATCCCCGAATGGGTGTACGGGAGTGACCAGAGTGTCCTTGGCCGGATAAAAATTTGAGTCGCTCCGATATAAAGATCCGACTGTAGCGGAAACTACTGAATTTTAGTTCCTTACCTACTTCCGGCATACCTTACCACGGGTAAATTCTTGAGGTATTGTCTCTACCTGACGGTGTCTAGTTCTGAACGCAACACTAGAAAAGAGGAGGTGCTCGTCCTTCCCCCACGGTTTCCAGCAGTAAGAATTCTCTTCTATACCCATCGCTGTGATATATCTTTCAAGAGTGTCAGAATTTCAAGGGTGTACTCTCTCTCGCGAGATTTAAGCCATGCTTCTTTTGACAGAAACCTTGTGTCTTCAGTAGCTTTGGAACATCTTTCATTACAAACAAATCGTGGTTTGGAGTTGTGTTACAACAACCAACGACTTTTTAGCATCGAGCAGATGCTTACAAAGTCCTCAAGCCTGAAAATACCATGTTTTAAACCAGTAGTGTCTATGTGAAAAACAGACTCGACGCCCACAGCGAGGTCTGCTGCTCAGACAATATGCTCTCTCCAGGTATTCCAGCATCGAATATCATAATTAAAAGGACGGGTAGCTACGATGTATGACCTGCTGTCCCTTGTTGCGCTGCTGGAAGCCATTCCTTTCCAACTTCTTCCTGAGACTGTTGCATCTACGCTGGCATTAACAGTTGAATCTTTGAGGGAGAAGTTGGTTTTCGGTTTTTTTTCTTAATTTATCATTCTCATGTGACCCTTTGGGCATTCCTTTCTCTGAGGGCTTTACATCAATTTTCAGACTAACCCAACTCGTTTTGCTAGTTTCGGTTTGCCAATACTCGCTTTTTGCGCACTGCGCATCTTGCTGTCCTGGAGCGTTGTCCTACAATTTTTAACTAGCCCCTTCTTTTCACCCTCCTTTCTGTTTGGTTTTTTTGTCGAGAGTTGGGACCCCGGCGGTTAAACCTTCCTGACAAGAGAAAAGCTTTTCAAATGGAATAGATTCTGTCATTCTCTTACTTCTTGAGACGCATACTAGGGGGCAATCGGCGCGCGCCGTCCAGCTCCCCTTTTTAATATTGCTGCTTTTAAGTTCATATCATCTTTCCTTCCTTCATTCCTCATATCATCATTATCATCATAATATTTTTGTACATTGATTCTTCTTCGATGAAATTGAAATCGTTTTCAATAAATTTCTAGGACATTTATCGCGGCATACTATGAGTATATATGTTTCATACGAGAAAGTCCATATTTGTACCTTTCGGTTTGCTGGGATGTCTGCAGTGTAGAGTGATACCATGAGGATGAGGAACTCATCAGTAGTAAATTCCATTCTCTTGACGGTAAACCGTCAGAATTCTGTAAGGAGAAGACGGTCGGTGTGTGCTCTTACCTGTAGTGGAATTCACTTACTTTTAGCGTTACGGTTTGTCGAATTGCTAACTTACAATTTTTCTAAGATAAAACGGCTCGCTAACTCATTTTTAATGACAATCGACAACTGGCATGGTATTGTTTCCCCTTTAAAAAATACACGGCATGAACCTTAACACTTCAAAAGAGCCCCGAAATATTGAGATTAGGATCAATATCTATATATATCTATATATAAACAGGGGAGTCCAGTTAGTTGCTAAGGCTAGGTTTCGCTAAAAAATTTTCCAAAAATATTTTTTTTTCTGTAAATTCCTAGCAATACTTTTAGAAATGTTATAGACTTAGTCCCGAAGGTCCACCAAACCAAGAAGTAAGTATAGAAAAGGGGCGAGCGGAGAGCGCAGCACCAAACGGTTAGTTCCCGCGAGCAAACACTTTAATCGCTATTTTCTTGAAACCACGTTTTTTTCAACTGCGTGACACTCTCATAGGGAACTTATTGAACTTATCAACATGAACAATAGGCATTTTACTCCTATTTTTATTCCGACCACAGCCAATGTGAAACAAAATAAGAAATCGTTTGTATTTGTGCTTTCAGATCCATGCAGAGGAAGATACTAGTTGTCAACAAGAATCCAAAATGTTTACATTTTTACACCAACTAGTTCATCTTCATCCATTTTCCATGTAAGCCAGTGGTATTTTTAACACGGCGATGCCCTACGAGCTGACAATTGTCCTACTATGGATCAGCTTCATACTAGTTTAATACTAGTTCATTTAGGTATGTTGAATTTCTACTTCACCCAAAAAAAAACAAAATCAAATAAAATTCAGTTCGCCGGCTGTGAGAATCGAACCGAGACTCTCATGCACCACAGTGAAGACCTCTAACCACCAGACTGTCGTTATGATATATGGAGGAACGAAATCTGTGCACTTCAACGGAGGTTTTTAGGAAATGAAACTCAGCTGTGCCAAACTAAGAACAAAAATAACATACGAATGACGTGGAAGTAAAAATTTCTGTTTCACCAAATATTAAAAAAAATAATAATAATTATATCTAGCAGACTTACCGCGCTGCAGCGATAACCTCTAACTTGGCTATCATGACGATGCAATGATCAAAGTCATTT